ACGAGACTTAGGTATTAGTCAGGCTTGTTGGGAGTGAAAGGTTGATGTGGTGGAGTAATTTGAATCATTGCCTCGTGGGCCAACTCGTTCGGTATTGCGAAATCTGACTGAACTTGGGTCTGGGAGAATATTTCACCCCCAGGTTCGTAGAGGAAACCGCGTACAAAGATCAGTCTTGCCCTCCGGACAACTGTTCATGACGAACTCGAAAATGGTATGCCCGCTTCTGACATCATCATTCGCTGGTCCTACGTCACAGCTGTACATCCTCCCTCAAGGTGTGACGCCCCTTTAGAGCAACGGTCTCCCATAAAGACCCGAGCTTTGTGAATCATGACTTAGCTTTCTCGTCGCGAGTTTACGTGGAATCGTAGATTTGTAGTGGGAAATGGTTAATTTTTAGTAGCCAAATTCCAGATTGCTGTTGGAGTAATGCCTTTGTCGGTAGTTGGGGCGAGCTGTGGTAGTAAGATTGATGTAGAGGACTCGCGTGAGATCGATAGATACGACATTGACGAGAAGATGTCGATTTTAGATATGCTAAACCTCACAACAGACTCAGTAGAGACTCTCATTGAAGTCAATCAAAGTGCGAACCTCAATGCTCATGGGCTTGTACGTGGGAGACGTATGGTATACATCAGCATGAACCATACGATATACACGCCAAGGCATCTTTGGTGCGAGTGGCAAACCTTCGTATTGGCCCGTACAGTAAAGCCAGTTCCTTGAAATATGGAATAAATATCTTGTAAGTAATGCCATAGTTTAGCCTATACATTTGGTGTGAAGATTCTTGGAGACGATTTCACATTGTGCGAGTTATCTATGTATAGGGCAAACAAGTTTCACAAGGTTCAACACTGCCGTAAAAGAATGTCCGAATGACTTAGTCAAGCTTAACCCATCCACAATCCCACCGTGAGGTAGGAAGTTCAGGAGAACGCTCCGGCTTAATTGCAATCGTGTAGATATATGCCATATTGCGAAAGTTTACCGAGAATATATTGAATGATGTTCTCAGTCACAGTACATTTTGCTCTGCGATTCGCGGCAAGATGATGTTTTTTAGGCTATGGAAGAATTCTGTTAGTTTTCACACTATTTTTGTGTACGGATTAACAGATAGTTGGCGTGCTTAGTGCTAGACCGGCCCTTTCCAGGTTACTTGCCAGAATTATAGCCCTAATCTGGAATTGTGTTTCGTACAGAAGAGGATAGAGTAGCTGTAGTATGTGTGGCCTGGTGTCACGGGGTCACAAGGTGCGGTGTAATCGTAGAATCAAGAGGTACGATAAACATTAAATTTGCACCCCTAAATCTGTACAGAAGTTGAAATTTTGCCTTTTTCTGCTTAGTAGTAATGTAGATAAATTTTATACAAATCATACGATGGGGAGTCATGTGTGATGATAATAAATTATAGAGTCTGAGCGTTGTTGATCAGAAAGGTGAGACGCTAGAATAACGACCTGCCAAATTTCCAAAGCAGGAGGAAAGGCTTTCAGTCACTAAATATGATTTTCCTGCGCTAGCTTCCGACACTAACGGCTAGGGTGAACTATGCAGCAAATGACGCATCGAAGGAGCGCTTGGTTCAAGAAACTCTCTCAACAAGCCAGATGGCCTAGCAGTATACCCTGTGAAGTAACCTCTCACTCCCCAACGGCGCAGTCGAAGAACGTAGTCTCTGATGGCGGTAGATTTGATAATCGCAGCAGACATGAGCTATCTAGCTAGGAAACTTCAGCGAGCCGGCTCAGCACTCCGCGCAATTTTCCAACAAGCTAAAAATAATCGGCAATTCTACACTGTTGAAGCTATATGGTTACTCTGATTTCCAGAACCAATAGATATACTGCTATTAGAAGACCGGCAGTTCCTACATAGCCATAGACCCAGGAAGGACAATAGAAGGAATTAATAATAATAATAATTAACTGCTACTGATAAATGCGGAATAACGACACCGAGTTGTTTGTTCAATCGGTGAGCCAAAGACATCCAGCCATCAACTTGATGTAGATACAGGACTTCCAGGCTCTACAGCAAGATTTTCCCGTTGAGGTCGAAGATACAGGGAGGTAAATTGGCCAACAAATCGACTCTGATCAGGGTGATTAATGCGTCTCCAAGAGTCTGAATTCCAGGACTAACCATAAATAGAATAAGATGGATGTGTGACGAAAAGGAGCTCGAACGGACCATGGAAAAAGCCCGTTCAAGAGGGTCGATTTTACTGAGCCTCCCCACAGAGGCCTTACAAGAACAGATGGTCCGACACAGCATTGTCCTCAATGCTAATTATTTTTACATCAGATTTAAATTGCGTATGCAGCTATCTAGCTATGACACAATATCAGAGAAAAATACATAATCTATGACTCAATATAAAGGAAGAGCACTCATGCCCCGGATTTCATTTGCAAGTACCACTGCGAAGTTATGGCGGCTTTTTCTTCACCCCAAGTCAACCCCATCCGTGAATATCCACCCAGGGGAACGTCTCAAAAACCCTGAGTTATCAAGACATGCCTCCATCATCCATTTACTTTTCTCCACGCGAAATGCAGTATAGGCGTCTCCTCCCCAAGTGAAGCAGGTGCCCAGGCTACTCAAACCATACCAGAGAACACTTCTCATCAATGCTATGCTCTACTCGGCACAGGTGTGGTCGCCAAGGGCCCAGCCAAAGCAGTGTTACAACTAGTCAAAGGGGACACACGCAGGCGTCGTGTGGTAAGGCAGCCTGATGTAGCCAGTGCGCTGGTGCTGACCAGATTCGTGATTGCTCAAGGAAAAGGACTTCTTGCGGGAATTGCGGCAAGGAACACCGCTCATGATAGAGAGCGACGTGTCGAACTTTTCGAGTCTACAAGGGGAGTGATCAGAGAGCCCGCTTCGAGCTTTCTTAGCGAACGGCGAAGATTCAACGGGAGGCTATCCCGACAACTGCGGCACCAAAGGCGCCATCAATAACTGACGATCAAGGATTTACCCTAGTTGCCAGCAAAAAAGTTGACTCACTAAAGAAGGGACTAGGGCGATCACGTAAGGTGATTGCTGATACAACGGCCGTACTAAACTTGTTGAGATCTATGACACCGGCGGCTTCATCCACCGAAACGACAAGAAGGACAGGAAAGAATAGTGAAAAGATTCTTTAGTACTTCAACTGAGAAGAGCCTATGGCGCTAGAGGAGATAAATTTGCAGTGAAACTGAAATCAGTGGAACAAAAGTATGTCTTCGGCATGAAGCCGGGATATGCGATCGTGGTTCATCTTTGGGTTTTGTAGCTTGAAAGCCTTTTCCCTCCTTAACATGGCATATTGTCTTCATGGTTCTGTAAATAGATACCGAATAGGAGTTTAAACGAGATATAAATCAAAAACTGCTACTGATAGGTGTTGAAAATATTCCTTCTCCCTGTAGTGGCGTTTGCGAATGAAATCCAGAGCACGAGTATCTCCAGCGTCAAAAGAGCCGCCCAGCGTGTGTACATGGCACCGAACATGTGCCATGGCCAGAAAGCTACACACACTTAAATGATACAAAGAAGAGCTCGATGTGACATTTTGGTCACGATCTAGATTTAGCTACACTCAGCTACAACAGAAAAATTGGCCTACGGGGAAGTAATAAAGACTCCATACGAAATGAATTCTCCAGACCCAATGAGATTGATTCCCGACCTAACTGGCACTTTTTCACCGATATTGTGCCATGGCTAGATAGCTGCATACGCAATTATAATCTGATGCAAAAAAAAAGATGAATTCTCACCAAAGCCTCCTTGAGTCTATGGGTACGGCCGAGTGGATTCCCGCTTCAATGCCTCTACCTCTCGACAACTCAGCCCCTAGCCTTGAATAGCCTCTAAATCAACGCCCACAACAACGAGAACATCCGCTGGGCGGATCAAATCGTGGCGCACAAAAGTGTGAGGTAGATCTCCGGAAAGAATGAGGGGGGGCTGAGAATAGATAGGCAATATCATACATGGATTGACACAAGCTCAAAAGCCGTAAGATAAGAGATTTTTGAAGGAATTTTCCGTGAAGAGCTTTGCGCGCTCTACGACATGGTTTGTGAGAGTGAATATAAAACTTAAGTAACAGTCATGGCTAGTTAGCGAAGTGGTACATCATCTGGGCCTTGGTCCCATGTGGAATTGGAGGACCATAAAATTCCACACTCGTTTTTGGCTACCAAGGAAATCCCAAGTCGAGTGATAAATTTGACGTGTATCCTATTTTACACGTGGAATTACTGTGTCATGTTCAGAAATTCATAATCGTGTTTCTCTTGGAGCTCATTAGCAGGATGGTGAAGGCATTCTTGAACTGTTAAGTGGCTAGGGATCTAGTATACTGATATGGAGTTGAAATAGGATGCTCACGGCGGTCTAGCGTTATAGAAGCACTTATGACTTGATATTTGCTGTCTGCTTAATCTCGTACACCTTAGGTATGTAGATCTTAGTCATATCTCTACCCTCTAGTTTTATTACCTTTTAAACCTTGAAATATTTCTTGCCATATTAGTGTGTCATACCATGAACAATTTTGTCATAACTATATAGCTGTATATGCAATTATGATCTGATGCAAAAACAGGGATAATTCAAAGTCTTGAAACTTCCCTTTAGTGTCTGCTCACGGAGCATAGTCGTTTGTTCAGTTGGAACTGGAACACATCATCGAGCTATTTAGGAATGTAATGCAGTGTAACATTATCCCTCAAGTTGAGAAATTCTTTCATAACCAAACCATTGCCCAAGTATTACAGTTAGATTTCTACTTGAGCAAGAAACAGTTTAAAATATTTGAACCCATTTCCAGCGAGGCTGAAACTTGATTGCAGACCTTGAGTGGCACCACATTACATTTCATTTACCGAGACCAGGCTACTTTGCGACCCAGCAACCTACTTTGTTTACCACACGGGATTCTAAACCCCATACGTCCTTAACCCCCCCGACCTCAGGTCCCAGCCGAAATGCCTTCACTATGGCTATCAGATACACAAAGTGAGTTAGCTCTGATGGAATCGCGCGGGGAAAACTCAAAACATCACCATTGTAGCTCAGCTGCTAACCAGAATTGCTATACAGAAATAGGCGTTATATTTTGCTCCGGTGGTGAGTGTTGACGCGACGCTTTACGATAGCAGCATTGTAACAGCTGACTAATCTGTATCTTGCTTATCACAGGCGGATTTTTCCTCATCGGTGGTGTTATGATGTTCTTTGATAGAGCGATGTATGATAATCTTTCATAATTCTATTCATTTTTATGATTCCTATGGTCAACCTAAACTGTATTCGAGCTAACTCCATATACTTCTGTCACAGGTTGGCTATGGGAAACGTATGTTTCCTTGTTTAAATACCAATTGTTTGGAACCTTCAACTGATACTTTATCCTGGCGAAGATTCTTTTCCTCATTGGTCTGACAATCCTAATTGGTCCTCAAAAGACGCTTGCCTTTTTTGCTAGTAAGCAAAAGTTGAAAGGCACAGCTGCCTTTTCGTTGGGGCTGATATTAATACTTATGCGGTGGGCGTTGGTGGGATTTCTTATTGAGCTATACGGAATATTTGTGCTATTTGGGGACTTCATCATTACAATCTCGGGCTTTGCAAGGAGTTTACCTGTCATAGGGCCTTTTATTGGAGCTTTAGTTGATAAGCTCGGTATAGGAAAGGATGAAAATTTGCCAGTTTAAAACCATCATTACGACAATGAAATTTCAAATTGTGGATAGTATTCTCCTCGGACCACTTACAATGATTCTCTTCAAAAAATTAATTCCATTCGATGAGAGAGTCATTGTAGATCAGGAACAAAATTACGGAGCCAAGTGACATATGTTCAAACTTCCCAAAAGATTAAGCATTGTGTAAATATTTAGCGCCAACTTCAAAAACAAATCAGGATGTAGTGGCTGGTGCGAAACATATTTTAATCTATTTGCAGGGACCCGTACTTTTTCCGAAGCGTCACTGAGATTTGGGAATTACTCTCCAAATACCGTTGACTACAGGTATCCAGAAATAATTACTGTATATCTTACACCTGGCCAAATTCGACTGCCTCATATAACATAAGGACAATTAGGTTTAATAACCTGAGCTACCAAGATAATCTGCCAATCCTTCAATAACAGTTGAACAATTTCCAGCAATCATTGTGTCATTGTGATGGGCAATTAGGATTGTCTTAGCTGTATTGACGATAACAACACCTTCTGTTCCCTAGTGTAAGAGTCAGCAAGAACGAGGGAAAAACCTTTTTTTATGATCCTATATTGAGTGGTACCAACCTTCCTAGCATATAGGCTGCGAACTCCTTTATTTGAAAACACATATTTCACCCCAGCAATAAATATCCCCTCAGATTGTAATTTTTCTAGATTGGCTGAATTTAATGCGTCATGAATAACTTTAATTTCTTCTGGTGTTATCTGTAAATGGTGTAAGCTTTGGGATGCGTGATTTCTATTTCTTCATGGATTTCTTGACGGTATTTGACCTACGTTAAACCCAGTGGAGCTAGCCCACATGCCGAGGTCATCAAAACCGAATATGGCACCTTTATCAGCATGGCCACTGCCGATCATGCTACGAGCCCATTAGTTGCTTTAGATTATCTCATGCTATATATGTTTGTATGAAAATGCGAACCTATCATCAACATATGCTATTCATGCCATTAGTCTTTGCTCAATGGTTTGCCTTGAGCTTCCACGTACCTTGCCACGACATTTTGAGAAATCTTCGAAAACTTCGAGCGAAAATTGAACAGGTAGCTTCGTCGTAAGGTTAGGCAAGGAGTAGATTTTTTTGAGTAATATTGACGGCGAATACAGTTCAAGTTTCCAGCCTGTACAACTTAAGATGCAATGTCGAGTGATTCAATAGGTAGGGTTGGTCAATGCTAGGGTGGGGGCCTGGAAACAACAACGACAAGATTCATTGGCCAATTCATTGGCTGACTCAGCGACCTCAATTAACCCCGCTAAAGTACCTGGAAACCCGATTGGAGATAGTGTTGGTCTTATCGGCTGTGGCCTGGCAATCCTTACCATACATTGTAGCCGGTCTTAATCGACAAATTCAGGTTGTGAGAGTAATGGAATGGGGTATATGCCTCATCTTTGAACATAATTTGAGAGATTTTCAGCGTCACCCGAAGAATTAGATTTACTTTTCAATCGCACTGTGATCCTATACTGAATTTGGCATTTCATAAAGCCTAGTCTTTTAAAGATAAGACTAAAAGCACTAATTTGTATTTATATCCACGTGATAAAAATTAACTGTCTCGGCTTTGTAAAACCGACAGTGGCCGGCATGTTTAATACTTGATTTTCCAGGTTTATAAACGTAAACGCTCTTTGCGTTTTACATATCTGGAATAATCAAAAGTAATCACAACCGAATCAAAGTCTAAAGCAAACACGGGCACAAGTTTTTATTGATGACTTCTTACCAATGTCGGACTTAACGTTCGAAGACGAGTCCTCTAACTCAATCTCACCATACATCGCCACCCTAGCGAATGATCAAGGGACTGCTACAAGTCAAAACTGGAGATCATGCTAAAAATGAACGGCCATCTTACACTATCAAATTACAACTCCACGTTTAATCGTAGGGTGGCTGCAACTGATGAGTTACAAAGCCCGGGTGTTGGTTCATGAGAGAATGTTGCTCTAATGGGACTTTCAAACTTGGGGGAGGATAGGAAGTTGTTGTATAGAACGAGAGAAGGAAGATTTTCCTGATGGCAATGCTGACACTACAATGCTTGGGAGGTATTCATCTTTGGGTGCTTGCAAATGCTATGACCATGATTTTGGGTAGTCAGCCAGGACTTTTATTTTCGGTGATTCTATGGCACTCCCAACTACCCCAAGCGGCACAGAAGAAGTTGGACACTAACTATAGAGCAATCACGGGGGACTTTTCTCAACACCTATCAGTGGTGTCACCGACGAACCTCCAGCGCTTACTGTGAGTCTGCAGAGTCCGGATTGAGTAACACCGTCATCCTTGGTTCGATGAGGATTCCCAATTAATTTCACGGCTTGTATTGTCTTCTTCCCTCAGCATAACCCCTTCACACTATTATCATGACGCTAACCACCATCACATCAGATGTTGAGCTCGAAGCCCTAATCACCACCCGCTCTTGATCATAGACGAAAAGCCATCCGATGAGTTTCCGGAGCGTACTCAGCACTCGATACGGCGATGGTGGATTTGATCAAGACGACTTCGACTGTTACAAAGAAGGGAGATATAGATTAATATGCACACCTCATGCGATCCCGTTGTGTATGCCTCGCCTGGCTGGGGCTGCAGGATTTTTGAGACTTTTTCCCACGCACGTAGTTTACATTGCTACCATTTTTTGGGTAAAAGGTTACGTGAAAAAGATGGCCGTGTTTCATAGGTAAATACTGAGCTGAATGGCTATTCATCACGGATAATATATCAATGATCTTTGAAGTAACAAAAGAGAACAAGAGCATTGTACAAGGTGTGGCCAGGGTCAGAAAGGAGCCCAATTGCTAGATAGACTAAGACTTGAGTGTACTATTAAACATACCTCTCTCTCTATCTTCATGCCTCTTGTTGATTGTCAAAAGGTCAACTTCATGTGACCTACATCTCCCAGTCACACTGCACGCAGATTTTCTACCCAACAAGTAGCCTTTTACAGTCAGGTAAATATGTGGCCTATACATTATTTACATCGTTATATTTTTGTATATTTTATGTCTCAACCAACTCACCTTCTGCTCGGTGGAAATTAAAAATTGACGATTAAAAGATATGACTGGAACGAATACGGGCGAGAAGTGATGAAGGTTTTTTAGTTATTGGCTTTGATTTTTGGTTATAGTTTTCTTAAATCCTACGTCTACTGAAAATTTATTGAAGAGCGACAATTTCAAGCGTGTTAGTGTTGGTCTCCGCCAGCCCCACCGGTCCTGTACTCAGATTGTATTTGGAACCCTAGCACAGGTTCTGTATGTATGTAAAAAAAGATTTAATTGACGCAGGTACTACTATACCTTTCTTACCAAGATCATACCTCGTGCAAACCCCTATAAACAATAGTAAAGAGTATTACCTATCCTGGAAAATATATCAGAGATATATTTTTATAACAAAAGGGGATAGGAGCTGTGTTCAAGGTTTGGCCTGGGTCAGAGAGGAGCCCTAGGTGTTGGATAGTTACAGATTCAAATAGTACAATGATTAACCAATTCAAAAGACAGTAGAGTTATGATACATGGTACGGGAAACCTCCTTTGGCGAAACACCTATCGGTCTTGAAGGCTCATTACCGAACCTGATGAGATCGTTGTAGATTATCCCAACGCCAAAATATTAGGGAAAATCAACAAGAAAGTCTATATCACTGAGTTTCATGAGAAGACGCCCGGCTGATTTCTGAATTCATATATAGAGTGGATATTCATCTACAAGCATCTCTAACAGTTTGATATTTTGATGTAGCTACTTGTAAAAAGCAGGTGGTACTTAGGCTATTGGTTCTGGAAATCAGAGCAGAAATAGCCCCAACAGTGTAAAACTGGCGATTTTGCCGACTTGTTTGAATTTTGCACGGAGTATTCAGCCGGCTCAGTGTTGTTTCCTGGTTGGATAAATCGTGTGTCCTCCAACTATCAATCCCATTGCCACAGTAGCCGCCCGGAATTGGTGTCAATGTGAGGTTTTTCGTAAGTGTCAGCATTGGTTCACCAGGCCTCGCGCTCGGGAGATGAATTGTCTCTTCAGCGCTGTCCAAGTAGCAAGTTGAGTGCAAAATTTTGACGTAGGCATGGAGCACAGGTGAGAAGAGACGAAGAGACTGTGTGGGTGTAGCAAGCTTATGCGAGGAATAGTCACGCTAGTAGATGGTCAAACTCAGGTGTGGTCAACTTCGAATGAAACGCTAGGTGTTCCATCACGAAAGACTTGATTCGAGCAACTCAAACGAAGCAGCCAAAGCTTAGAGAAATTCAATTAGATGAGCGGGACTTGGCTGGTTCTGAATATTCTTGGACCATTTCTTGGGAGTTTTGAAAAAAGATTTCGGAGCATCGCCGTGTAGATAATCGTAAGCCAGATATGCTACGTTCAGGTATATAAGCTAGTCGAAAGAGCTGATAGCATCGTGTCCCGCAGGAAATCGTGGCTGGTGCTTGGGCACTGTTGACGTCAATGAAATGATAAGGCGGACCATGCCAAAGTGTTTGTTGCTCTAAGGCCGGGAGTGTTAATTTGGGATGCGACGGGTATGCCCGATAATCCACGTCTCGCTTATTCCAGACGGAGAGGGCCCACGTCGTTGCGGGGGGGGCCTGACGAGCGAAGTTTCAGGGCCTGTCGACAGCCGATGACCAGAGGGGAATGACGAGTAGTGGCCGGTGATGTACCCGTCATAATTCCGTCATGCCTGAACATCGTCTCACAATAACTGTAGGTCTTCAGACTGTGCAGGGGAAAGCATGTTCCGACAGATATCCGTCCGCTGGCGCCTCGTGGCTCATTTCTGAGGCATAGACGTCCAAGACAAAAGGCATTGCCGCTCAACATGTCTGCCTCAAACTGTCCCTGGTCAATTCTGCTTCACGGCTAGAACGCCTATCTGTCAGGATTAGAGGGATTAAAGGAGCATTTGTGGAGGAATTCTAGACCCGAGAACGTTGACGAGCAGTAACAAAGCAGTGGATCCATACATTATGTTCAATTCGGATGCAGTGGATACGGTTACTGTCATCACAAGGCCTACTGGACTTTGGCTATCATTCGCGACCAATGTCTATCTTACTTTTTCCAGCATTCATAAGAAAAGTTTCGGAAACCGGTGCAAATCGGGATGCTGAAGAGAGTCCTCGTCCTTGTCTTTGACTAATTGCTCCTCATCAATGGCTAATCTTACAAGGTCTAGCCCTAACAACCAGCAATCCTCGTAGAATGAATCATCCTTGCATAGAACTTTTGTTAGACTGAAAGCTCCTTATTTTCTCCTGTTCATAAATGGTAATTGTCGCATCGTCTTAATTGTGATTCGTTCAGCAATCTGTAGGAGGAATTACAAGTCGTCTGTTCAAATTTTCAGATCTCCCCATATTGAGACACTAGCTACGCGTGTAGTAGCTTCTAGCGTAGTAGGTAGTTGTTTTGATTGATCAATCGCAATGCTGGGCCATCAGTGTTCTGCGTTATCCCTTCCTAAGAAGCTTAACTCGAGCAGAGCCGGACTGAATCAAATGGACTGGCATGTAAAGTTCAATAAACATCTCTACACCAACATAACTCGGAAGACTGCTATCAATTACTTATCTACGGTGAACATTACTGATGTGGGAATGAAATGCCGTCCCTTAGACAAGATTCAATCCCTTTCTTCAAACTCCAACCTTATTTAACCCAAGTATCGCCAACAATTGATGCGGAACATCACACAAAACCGACAATCATATACTTTGAGTTTATTGTGCTACTTGAGTCATACACTATCTAACACATTGGGCTTTTCTCTGATCCAGGCCACACCTTGTAGACTGCTAGTATCCTCTTTTATCACGAAAAAATACATCTCATATATTGCTCCCGTTGCATAGCTATCCAGCTCAACACTTACCCGTGAAATTCAGCTATTATTTCCGCTGAACTTTTTGCCCAAAAAAATCAAAAATATTGTGGCAGCAATGTAAGCTACGTGCGCGTGAAACACTCAAAAATCCTGCAGCCCCAGCCAGGCGAGGCCTATACACCGGGACCACATGAGGTGCGCATATTCATCTACATCTCCCTTCTTTGTAACAGTCGAGGCCGACTTGATCCAATCTACCATCTCCGCATCGGATGATGGGCACGCCCCGAAACTCATCGGATGGCTTTTCCTCCATGATGAAAGGCTGATGATGAATGGGGCTCCGACCCTACCATCTGATCTGATCGTGGTTAGCTTCATATTAATGGTGATAGCGGGATGTGCTTAGGGATGAAGACGATACAGACCGCGAAAGAGATTGAGGAACCTCATCGAAGTGAGGACTTTGTTACTCAATCTCGGCTCTGCAGACTCTACAGTGAGAGTTGAAGGTTCGTAAGAGACATTACAGACTAATGTTTTTGCTGTGCTTTTCATCTGGATTTGTTCACGACATACTCACGATGCTAGCGATATTTGTGTGCAAATTCAGATTTCTTCCTGTTCATCCATCTTGACCTAGATTTCAATTGCGATAAGATGTCGTAAATAAATCTGCTATCTCTTGCGGTAAGTAAGGAAGTTCGAGAAGGAAGATACTAGAAGTGGTGAAAGTACTGTGGGGTCTATGCAAGTGGGCTCTGCTCACTTGGTTGTAATACTCAAACGCTCCAGAATAAAACCATATCTTTAGACTGAGTTTCGATATTGATAATAGGAGAGCCTTACTCCATAGAGGTCTGTAAGACATACACAACCAGCGATCCACCCACAAATGTGCTTCGTTCCCCTGTCGGAGAGGAAAGATATGAATTGGATAGCGGCTCCCCAAAGTCTGTGCTCAAATGAATATTAGTAAGGGTATAACCGCTGTATAGACTAGATTACATATATATTACAGTCCTATCTAAATCCACTACTACAGAGGAATTCTACAATCTAAATGAAAGTGATTGGTTACGTTTAGCTTATTTTACCCATATAAATTCAAATCTTATTCTTGTGCAGAGTGAGGAACAAGTCCTGGTATCCCCGCTGGACAGGTTTTGAAGGATTGGAGATGAACATCTGAGAATTGCTATCTCTATCTAGCGAGAATGGAGTATTGAAAGATGCTAAATTATTCTTAGGTTAAATGGAACAATGAATAATACACCCAGTCTAGCTGATTCTATTTCGTTTAGAGCCTTGATAAGCCACCTACTGTCTCCTCGCAATATTTGCATCGTTAAAAAGGTTCCAAATCTCACTTACCCATCAGGTATAGAGTCGCATCAAATTTTGTTTTATGCGCACAGTGCATGATGCGTAGGTAGAATAGGTTTTAATGTAGTGAAGTGCAGATAAATGTCTCAGAGAAGAATAGGGATGCCAAGGCATTTTCATCCGTTTACTAAGAAAGAAGATTGAGCCGTTTCATAATTTATATCGGTTCGGGGTTAGGATCACTTACCCTACAGGACTTAATGTGCATTCATCGAGATTCAGAGATAAATACTTCGAGTGATATTACAAAAATGTTAAGTTACCCTTAAAAAAGAGGATAGGTAAGAGGCTAGCCTTACTTTCCATCGCTTGAGATTGAACCGCTAAAAGGCTTCGACATTGAATCTATGTTCAACACTTCATGAGTATTCTAAATTTACCGAAGCCGGTAAAGACGAATTCTTCACCTTCTAGTGGTGCCGGTATTATCGCTCAGTATATTCTGCATATCTAGGGTAGCCAAGAAGAATCGCATCCGAATCGAAGTCGAAAGCAAACACATCCGTATCTCCATTTGACGACTTCTCAACCATGCAGCACTCACCATTATCCTCTGAGTCTTCAACCTTTTTCTAACCACATATCATCTCGCCTCAACGACCCATAAAGGCGTCACCCCAATTGCAAACAGCAGCTTGCGTCATTCATTACCGGCCATCACTCACTACAAATTTACGACGTTAGCTATACCCGCAAGGAGGAAATCAAGGCGAAAAATACAAAGCCTGAGTCTTGGCTTATGGGCGACTGTTACTCCAATGTGGTAATACATCTTGAGGAAGGGATGGTGGCTGAGATGCGGAGTGAGAGGAGGAATAGGTCTCTGAAGACCATGCTGGGACTGATGTTTTCGAGGGGTTTTCAACTTTGGAACTTTTGTGGGCCTCAAGGCCAAGATTTCGGTCCATAAGCCAGGAGGACTTCTAATGTCGATGAGTCAACAGCACTCCCCAGCGCCCTGGACAGCACAAAATAAGTTGGGCTAAGCTACCATACAGCAATCACGCTCAGTCAAGACTTTCCTGACATTTCAGCACGACCTTCGGGAAAGGGTTGGAAGGAGGCTAGAAAGGTAGAGGGTGAATTTCCAAAGGTATCCACAAGTCTGCAGTGCCCAGCTGCTCTTCGAGCGCTTCAGAAGGGGCATTAAGTTTCCAGGTCTAGTCCTAATGTCGGTATTAGAAGAGCTCCAAGCCCAGTGGCTTTTGAGATCTTTCCCGGCTGCCATACACCCACAAATGGCCATCGTTTCGTCGGCTGGAGAGGGGAGATAATGAAGGGCAAAGGGCTCCTCTAAGTGCATGATCGAATGAGGACTTGAGAGGGGTGGTACTGTTTGAGGGGAGCTGTGTGGAAAGCATAGGAGGGGATATACTACTGGTATAGGTATCCTTGGCTTGTAGGTAGAGAGGACCTACCTGTTCTACATAGTCACAGACTCAGGAAAGACAATAAATTGGAATAATAACAATAACAAATATGCAGAAAATAACTTTTATTAGCCATTCCTCGCACGATTAAAAAATACTCGCTGAAACTTTGCCCAAAAATTCCAAGTCGTTTCAAGTGACGCTCGCGCCCTATATTCATCAAGTAAGGATCTCGGCTTCTTATTCGGCCTATGCACTTTCAATAGTTTTGTCATAGCTCGATGCTTCATATTATCCTTTTAATAGAAAATTTTGTGAAAATGATTTGGAGAGATAAATATATCGCTCAAGGCACGGGTATTTTGATAAAGACAAATCTTGCACCGAATGAGACTCCATGTGCACCCAGATGCTGACGTTTTAACTGCGCTCAGACTTGTTATTGGATATATTAAATCAGTAATCATATACAAACCCTCCAGCTCCCAAAGAATCAGTCTCTTATTGTTAGGATATGGTTGGTTGAAGTAGCCCATAAAATCTATCACCCTGATTTCACAGACGATAATTATTTGAAATTGCCTTCGTTAGATGCTTCTCTATTTTCCCAAGCACTTTAGTCTACGAATAGATAAACCGTTGATCGAAGGTGCATGAGTCTCTAGAATCAGCTCAGAGAATCGGTAAAGTTACAAATAGGTTGCGCGCGTTGTTATCGACTTTTATCATCCACAAGTGAAGAGAATAGAGTAGATGTATCTAATTTCAGCTTCAAGTTAATCGCAGCTTGCTTCCTAAAAAAAAGGTCTTCCATGATATAGCTTATATTTGATTCCCCCAAGGATTGCGACCCTGGCTAGAGTATCGTATACTAGTCACAGGATATGCAGCCATCACATACAGTATCACCAATCAAGGCACCATTAATATCATTGCGGTCTCATTTTACAAGAGATCAAAAGTCCTGAACCTCTGCGACAATTAATTTTTCTGGACTCTCAAGAGTATTTCTTGAGAATTTTCGATTATCTGGGTGGTGGAAGTTGAGATGATCACGAATGTCGCCTTCGAGTTAACACATTTACTTCTAGACCATACACCGGAAATGTCTTACCACGTTGGAGCTGTTAACAAGACTGGGTTCGACGGGGAGCTCAACCACTCACATAAGCCTGTCTCATGTTATTTTAGATTCTTTGATCATTCTACCCTGAGTTTCCTAAACCATAAAACAAAGTCTTTATTGCTAGCACGGTCCTTAACATCGGGGTAATTTATCCCTGAGAATGATCGACGATCCCTATTTTATCCTTGTCGATTGCTATTAAGGATTAGGTCCATTCGCGATGCGATTTACAGCTTCTCGCTGGCTGAGCGCCCGCGCGGATCAATGGCTTGCAGCCGGCTAACGTGGGCTACATTATGTACTGAGACGTCTGTCGTGACATGCCACATTCTGCATGTCGCCTTTCCCTTTCTCATTCAGTCACTTCGGCTCAAGTACCATTTAATCATCTGCCTGTAATTACTTGCTCATTCATTTGTCCTAATTTTCGAGGGCACCTCTATTATTAATATTTAATCTTTGCATTTGGAAACCCTTCTGGTAAGGGTCAGATCTCTATCAAACAAGCTACTAATCACAAAATTCATGGACTTCTATTCAAGTTGGAATCGTGAATCCGGGTGGCTATCGCTAAAAAACAGTGAGTATAACTATCAAATGCGGGAGGATTTACAGGAAATTCGAGACTCTGTGGAAATACTCGCTTTAGACACCAACGACCGTCCTTCGTTTACTAAATCTTCAACGAAACCGAGATCATATTATGACCCTACAATAAATTTCCATCCGACTTTTCCTAACATATCCCATGAATACAGTTCCCAGAGGAGTAATGTTGCTAGCAAAACCATTAGTAAAATACCACTCTGGGGAGGCAACTCGCTGTCTACAATCAATGAAACGAAGGTTGAATCTCCTGAGTGCCACATCATACCTTCCCCACAAATTTTAGTTCACACTTCGAACCATTTCAAGTTTGACGATAAATTATGTGCAACAAATGATGAACGTGGAGCTTTCCCGGCAAGCTTGAACTCACCCGATAGCATTGGGATAGCACTTGGGAGTCCCAAGAAAGATGTTTTTACAAGACCAGAATTGAAAGGAAATCGAATGAGTTCAAGAGTCTGCGAGAGCATTGCAGAAAATAGATACCACAAATCTCCAAGAAAACGAAATTCGAAAAGATGGAGGATAATGATGGGAGGTCTATTTAGCGGTAAGAGAAGTAGATCGCAAACAACATCGGCATTTTATCAAAACAAATCACGGCGGCCACTAGAATCTGAGTCGGGCCGGATGACTATGAATAAATACCGTAAATACAACGAGGGAGTCTCTACAAAAGTAACAAAATTTGAACGAAAGAGTGGCAAGAAATCACTTATGCGATACTACATGACGACAGAAAGTAGAGAACTAAAACAAAGACCAAGTCTTCATCGGGACATGAAAAAGCCCAACAGGCCCACCGCTACAGAAAAAAGCTCATTACTTAATGTTGATATCCCGACTATAAAGATGGATAGGTATAGCGTTATGTTTAGTGGACTTCTCAACAGCTCGCAGTCAAACGCTCACCGGTTATCTACGAAACGAAGACATGACTTCGAAAGACTGAAGGCTGTCACCGAAGCTCTGGCTATGAAGGTAAGGCTCATACATCTATTCACTTACACATCAGACAGTTATGTTAATTTCATTCAAGGAACGCGAGTTAGATGAACGATTTCGGAAGTTAAACCAACAAACAGCATGTCCTCAAGTGGCCCGGGCTTCATTTTCTTTATTTCCCAGAGAAACAACACGAAACAAACATGAATCATCGCACTCCCAACTTCCACCTTCCGCCGAGCTGCAGGGATCCAAGGGGCCCCTGAAACCACCCCCGCCTCTTTCCTCTCGAACCAAGCGGATAGCACAGACCACATCATCGAATTCAGCCTACCTAGGCAAGGAGAGCGGAAAACAAGCAGCAAGGGAACCCCTAGTTGCTCCACGAGCCGAGAAAACCTCCCGAGATCAACCACCCGGAAAATTATCCAAACCTCCGTACATAACATCAAGCCACCAAAAGTCACCCGATAGCGATGATTGGGGGCTATTTAGTCCGAGCGCATCTTCCATCCGATCGAATCCCCTCGCTCTCAACCCGCCTCTCATCAATGAACCGGTAGCCGAAACCATTTATAAATTTAATTGTACCTCTTCCAGTCCTCCCATAATGGCAGCCCCTTCTCGTGAGGCAGTTGGGCTTCAACCGGTAACGGAGCCGCTGGTAGATAGTCTACCGTATTATGGCAGGGCGGCCGCTAGCGTCTTTCCTACGCGCAAATCAAGTATGAGCACGCCCCGAGATGCCACCATTTCGCCGGAACTAAAGTCTAAGTTCTTCGTGGCACCTACTGCGGCCCCGCTGCGCACTAGCCTTCTAACCGGAGTTCAAGAAAGCCCGCTTGAAGCGTTTGCCAAGGCTGCTAGTGAGGAACGGCGACGCGTCGCGCGCCCTGCACCAACAGATTCCCGCAGCACGTATTCCGGACTTGAGGGGCTTACTGCCCAGTGCGTGAAGAGCGTACGATATGTTCGGCCGACTTTCGTTCTAGCCTGCGAGGAGTCTGGACGAATGAGTGAGTGTGCCAGCCTGAAGTTGGATAGTGACAGTATCCGCACTGTTACAGACCGTCGGCCTAGCTAAGATAACAATACAATGCGTGTTTTTGTAATTTATAGAAAAGGCAAGAAATCTTTGGCACAGGATGTTGCCACAGTCATTGTGCATAGGGGGGAAAGTAGTTGTAATATATATTATTAATTTTTTTCTCCATATTGCCATACTCAGGTGTTTCTTAATAACAATCCCCTTGTTTCCGCGACATACTTGTTCCCGTCTATAATATCCTTGTTTTACACCCAATTAACCATTACAATGTCTGTGCCATTTGTGGGATTATCAGTATATCCCTGCGGGACTAGACGGTCTCTGTGTTCTAATTTACGCTGCCTTGAGCGTAAGATAGGGGGTTGAGAAGAGGTGCGCATCTTGGACGCGGGGTCTTCGGGGTATCACCTCAGAGCTTTATGAATTTATCCGGCGGAAAGAGGCTTACCTATCGGGTATAGACTCCCAGTAGAAAACTTGAGATAGAAGACGCTGTCTAAGCAATAGTGAATAATAGAAGGAGCGGGCTAGAAGCAGGAGGTGTGTTGGCGACTCAGCGGCCCTAATTTAGCAATCTATCTGGAAAAGCATATATTCGCTCAACACAAATGGCCGTCAATCTTTCCGGTGTGGGCGCCGTAAAGGGCCTCGTTAATTGCGGATTTCGCTGATGATAAAGGGGATTATGACTACACAAGCTTTCCAGAAAATCAACACGCTCTCTTCAAGTGCCAAGGGAAGCTTCCAGATTTTCCCAAAGTTAACCGTCGTTTCACGAATGATTAGCCAGATGCTCAAGAATGCGACGGCAAAGAAGTGATAGAAGAGTACAAATGGTTGTCTAATGATTCCAGCGAGGAGGCCAACGGGGCCATCGACACAGTTGCCTCCTTTGAGGAAGTAGGAAAAGCATCCCTTCTGCAGAGCACGAAGTTGTCGATCGTTGGCCGCAAAGAGAGAGTAAAGAGCCATGGCAAGAATGTTAATGATGCTGGACAAACCCTTGCGTTTCCAATGGAAATCTTTCATCGCCTTTTGAATGGCGTGTGTGTCTGATAGGTTTGGAATGCATTCAGGTGAGAGCAGGTCGGAAAGTAGTACAACGTCATTAAAGGCTACAGTCATACCACCACCAGTTAAGGGGTGTCGCATATTCATGGCGTCGCCGAGTATAACTATGCCTTTTTCCTGCTGTGTGGAAGGAGGAAGCCAACTATTGGGCATGCTACGGGGTATTTTGCCATCTTCAAGGGCCTTCTCAAAATATGGCTGAACTTGCTGCGGTAAGGATGGGAGTATGACGTTGCGGAGGTGACCACGTATGCCACCTGCAGAAACAGCAGCAGATGGTGTATTCTCGGGCACATCGACAAGCGCGCGTGTCTCGTGAGTGCCGATTTGGTAAAGTAAAACCGGTGAAGCGTCTCCAAGGATAACGGTACCATGACACGGTGCAGGGAGTGGGCAGTCGATAAGCTCAAGTGCGTAGAATTTACTTTTCACGATAGGTGTATGATTAATATATTGCTTACGGAATCTGGATGCGTAACCGTCAGCAATAATAGTTAGCTGGGCGTAAAAATTGTCTTTTTCTTTGACACCTGTTTCCTGGTTCATTGTCCTTGTTTGTACCCCGATTACTTGAGATCCGTCCGTACTTTCGACAGTCTCCATGACTTCCGTCTCAACGATCGTGATGTTTGGCTGTTGTGCGCAGGCTTTTCGTAGCTGAGAAATGAAACGGCCATGATGAAAAGCTCTTCCCTCTGGTTTTCCGCCTTTGGCATTAGAGTATTCGTAAGATCCCTTTCCTTCAATCTTCTTATCGGGGTAAGGTATGCGCACTCCTGTTCCGTAATAGATCACTTCGTAGCCATATACTGGTATAGCATCGATGTCCTCGAGACAATGCGAGAGGCCGAGTTTCTCTAGTGCTGAGATCCCTCCCGGCTGCAACAATTCACCAACAATCCGATCCGGTTGCTTGAGAGATTTCTCGAGGAGAAACACGCTACGGCCCTGCTTGGCCAACGCGAAAGCTACAGCACATCCAAAAATCCCAGCTCCAACAACTACGACATCAGCTTCGCGTTTGGAAAAGCTGCGTTTTTTTGTATCCTCTTCGTTAGGGGAAATCATGGTGTTAATGTTTTGCGTCAAGCACATGGAGCGTTTTGTTATAATTTGTTGAAATAAGGTGTGAGGCGCAATGCCAGGAAACAAGGGCCATAGAATCGAGGTGCAGCAAGATTAGTAATCGGATACAGAGTCGAGGTTGAACCAATAAAAACTGCTAGCATAAAGGGCATGATTACATAAAACGATGATGAGTCATAGATGCCGGGCCAAGTTTCACTAACCATGCTCATATCCCTGCAAACTCAAGATCTTTTCATATCAGCAAAGCCCTTACATATACTGTAGGGAATCCACACCTCTTGTGGCTATTGATCGATTGTCATGCACCTCCTTCTTGTCACGAAACAAAGCTCAGCCGTGAAACAAATCTTGCCCTGATTTTAGCTGAGATATGATGTGTTTATTAGGAGGGCAAGACTGAATACCTGCACGCGGTGTCCTCTAAGAACCTTGGAGTGAAATATTCTTTCAGAGCCAAGGTCAATCAGATTTCGCAATACCGAACAAGTTGGCCCAAGAGGCAATGATTCAAAATCCTCCACGTCGTTTTTTCGCTCCCAACGAGTTTAACTCCTATCCAAATCTCATCAAGCCTACAAGTACGACCGAGTACATCCTCATTTCAATGACCACACTTCTCATAAACTTTCCCTCGCCTCAGTTGACCACCAAACATACTCCCACGCCGATATTTGCACCCGACGGAGGAATCAAAGCGTGGCGCGCAAATCTGGAAGACAGTTCCTCGGAATGGGCGTGAGAGGAATCAGGGCAAGTTTACAAGATGATGCAGAGGATGTATACAGTGTCAACATGCATGAAATTTCAAATTTTGGCAAGGAGTTTTACGAATTGAGCTTTGGGCGCGCCAAGACTACGCTTGCGAGAGAGCTGTTGACGTTAAAAAAACAAGCAAACGATGGAAGGTGTTGTAGTCCGCCTCCTGGTGGTGTTCTCCGGTATAGTTCGAGTAGCCTGGGCACCTATTCCACTTGGGAAGGAGACATCTCAGATTACGTTTCGCGCGGAGAAAAGATGATGGATGACGGAGGCATGTCTGGATAACCCAGGGGTTTTGAGACGTTCTCATGGGTGGGTATTCACGGATGAGGGTTGACTTGGGGTGAAGTAAAAGCCGCCATAACTTTGCAGTGGTACTTGCAAATGAAATCTGAGGCATGAGTGCTCCTCTTGTAAATTAATTCATCTATCATCTACTTTTCTTTGACACTGTGTCATAGCTAGATAGCTGCATACGCAATGAAAATCTGATGCAAAAAGAAATATCGTAATAGCAGTCGTGCTGGGACTAATTAATCCCTGTATCATATACTAGCGCTTGTACTTTGGACATGGGTGCACTCATGCCAACGGTCACAGTTACATCTCTACAATATACTCACCCTTATTTATCTTAGAAACAATCGAACCATCTTGATCCAACTTATCATCTCTGTATAGGGTGCTGGGTACGGTCCGAAAACTCATCGGATGGCTTTTCCTCCATGATCAAGGGTGAGTGATGAGAAGAGTTCAGACTCTACTATCTGATCTGATCGTGGTTAGCTTCATGATAGTAGTGATAAGGGAATGTGTTGAGAGATGAAGATTTTACAGACGGCGAAAGCAATTGGGAACCTTCAGGAAGACGAAGGCTGAACACTTGTCAGTGGTGCCCTCTTCGAACCTGGGAGTGAAATATTATTTCAGATCCGAGATTCAGTCACGAAAAAGGGTGAATTTGAGAGCTTTCGTGGTGTTGGCGAGTTTTTAGTCTAAGACCTGACCTACAGAGATTTCACGACTGCACAACCCAATGAATTCAACTATCTACCCCAAAATACGAACCGCAGAAAGGATAAAACCCATCTGATACTCATATCAAAAAACTGATATCTTTCTCTTTCCCAAATTTTTCTGGGATCTCTTGTCCATCAAACTCATCTCGTGAATCTACACAGTTTTCTCACCACTCACTGAAGCAAACCAAAATGCAAAAGTCATAGCCGCAGTCTAGGTTATAAGTGGACATCCATCCTGTGGCAGATGTCGCACGCTGTGAAGATACGGTCAAAGCATCATCTTTATATTTGTCCAACCTCGGCCAAGATCACCAACAACTGGACCTTCGATGAGATGTGTATGAGATTTCGGCTGCAAATTAACTAGAGTCTTTGATAAAGTCTGAGTTTTTGGTACCTCGATCTTGAACTCTCCGACCCATATTCGGCCTCCATGGTTAAGGGCACGGCAGCCACGGGGCAATGCCGAAGGAGAGAAAAGTCTACAAAGTATTCTTTTCTTTTTAAATAATTTAATGTGTTTTCAGCTATAGAGCTATGACACATGACCGGTACTATGTATACATGTGGGATGACTCTTTTGACGTTAGAGGCACTCATACTCTGGATTTCATTCGCAAATACCACTATGAGGTATGCTTTCTAACACAAACAGTCGACTCTCCTCCATAAGTGCCCACCAAAGGGACGTCTCAAAATCTTGGGTTATCCAAGCATGCCTTCGTCATCTATGTATACCAGCGCCGCGAGAAAAGTAGTTGTGTTTTGCCGGATTTGAACCAGCGATCTACTGTCTCGAGAGGGTTATGTGTCCAAGCTATCCAGACTCTACTTAGCAGACCGGCCAAGACGATGTACCACCGCACCATCCAACCATGGCGGTGTTTATAATGTCGCCTGCACTCTCGCAACCGAAGCCATGGCACGCACAAAACTCAATTAGTAATAAATCCTTGCCAAAATTTGAAATTTTACGCCCGTCGACACTGTATACATCCTCTGCATCATCTTGTAAACTTGTCCTGATTCCTCTCATGCCCATTCCGAGGAACTGTCTCCCAGATTTGTGCGCCACACTTTGCTTCCTCCGTCGGGTATAAGTATCGACGTGGGCGTATATCTGGCGACCAGCTGAGGCCAGAGAAAGTCGGCAAGAGGTGTGATCATTGGAATGAGAATGTACTAGGTCGTACTTGTAGTCTTGATGAAGCTTAGATAGGATTCGACCCCGTTGGAAGTGAAAGACTGACGTGGTGGAGTATTTTGAATCATTGCCTCGTGGGCCAACTTGTTCGGTACTGCGAAGTTTGACTGAACTTGGCTCTGGGAGAATATTTAACTCCCAGGTTCGTAGAGGACACGGCGTGTAGGTGTTCAGTCTTGCCATCCTACAAAGTATTCAGGGCGGCGAAGTTGACATAAGGGTAGCTCCGATGAAGAGAACGACCCCTGAATGAGACGAGAAGATGCTAGGATGAGGCATGAGTGGTGCTGAATGGAAAGCATAAATTAGACATAGGTATTTTTTCAAGGGTTCGGGCGCGTGGTGGCTAGGTCTATGGAAAATATTACGTTTCAGCGCGTCAACATAGAGTTCTCTGCACGATTGGACTTTACATGTTCAATATGCGAAAAAACCCTGAGGTGATCCGGTCATTCAAGTGGGACGAGGTCTATTGTACTTATATGATAGTTAACCTGATGCAGCCCAGCCCTATTGTCAAAGCTAGCTAACTGAATACAAAATGATAAAAAAAAAGCCCAGCCCTATTCATGCCCTAGCTCCTCTGGGAGTGAGGAGGATGCCGACTACCCAGCATGGTTATAAAAATACCACATTCAGATGATGTACCACCGCACCATCCAATCACGGCAGTGTTTATAGTGTCAGCTGCACTCCCGCAGTCAAAGTCGCGGCGCACACGGAGCTCAATTCGTAATTATTATTAATTCATTTTATTGTCCTGTCTGAGTCTATGACTATGTAAGACATGCAGGTCCTCTCTACCTACAGGCCAAGGATAGCTATACCAGTAGTATATCCCCTCCTATGCTTTCCACACAGCTCCCCTCAAACAGTACCACCCCTCTCAAGTCCTCATTCGATCATGCACTTAGAGGAGCCCTTTGCCCTTCATTATCTCCCCTCTCCAGCCGACGAAACGATGGCCATTTGCGGGTGTATGGCAGCCGGGAAATATCGCAAAAACCACTGGGTGCCGGGCTCTTCTAATACCGACATTAGGAATAAATCCGAAGACATAGTGTTCTTTCTGAAGCGTCCGAAGAGGCCGACCAGCTGGGCACTGCAGACTTATGGATACCTTTGGAAATTCACCCTCTGCCTTTCTAGCCTCCTTCCAACCCTTTCCCGAAGGTCGTGCTGAAATGTCAGGAAAGTCTTGACTGAGCGTGATTGCTGTATGGTAGCTTAGCCCAACTTATTTTGTGCTGTCCAGGGCGCTGGGGAGTGCTGTTGACTCATCGACATTAGAAGTCCTCCTGGCTTATGGACCGAAATCTTGGCCTTGAGGCCCACAAAAGTTCCAAAGTTGAAAACCCCTCGAAAACATCAGTCCCAGCATGGTCTTCAGAGACCTATTCCTCCTCTCACTCCGCATCTCAGCCACCATCCCTTCCTCAAGATGTATTACCACATTGGAGTAACAGTCGCCCATAAGCCAAGACTCAGGCTTTGTATTTTTCGCCTTGATTTCCTCCTTGCGGGTATAGCTAACGTCGTAAATTTGTAGTGAGTGATGGCCGGTAATGAATGACGCAAGCTGCTGTTTGCAATTGGGGTGACGCCTTTATGGGTCGTTGAGGGGAAATGATGCGTGGTTAGAGATGGGTTGGGGACTCAGATGATAATGATAAGAGAGGCATTGTCGAGAAGTTGTCAAATGGAGATATGCTTGAGGTTGCTTTCGACTTCGATTCGGTTGCGATTCTTCTTGGCGATCACAGATATGTAGAGCATACTGAGCGATTACACCGGCACCACTGGAAGGTGAAGAATTCGTCTTTGCCGGCGCTTAAGTCGTAAAATTCATAGCCAAAATTTTAAAAATACACGCCCATTGAAATTACATCCATCGTGTAAACTAGTCATAGTTTCTCTCTTGTGCATCCCATAGAACTGTCTCCCGAATTTTGGCGGCGCGATTTGTTTCCGTCTCTGACCATAAATATCAGCGTGGGCATATATTTAGCAACCAGCTGAGGCTAGAGAATTATCGATAAGAGGTGTGTTCATTGAAACGAATATGTACCAGATGGTATATGTAGACAAGAGACCTTGGAGGAATCGATCTCGTTGGAAGTGAGATATGGATTTGGTGAAGCGGCTCGAGTCATTGCTTCATGGACTATCTTATTTGGTATTGCGAATTTGACTGGACTTGGCTCTGGGAGGATATTTAACTCCAAGCATCGTAGTAGACACTGTGTACAAGCTTTCAGTTTTTGCTCTCCTACTACTTAGCTTGTCCATCTATTCTCATGCGCTACCTCCATGAATAATTTAGCTACTCAATTTTCACTCACCTGCGCATTAGAAGAACTTTGACAAAGTTATTCGATGAATACATGGTTACGGTGGCTTTTTGAGCTTTTCTCTAACAAATCTGCCATCCATATTTTAATATTATCTTTTGTGATATACATCATGCCTATGCTTTAAATCAATGCGTAATTTCTAGTTCCAGAAAAAGCCGATATAATTAGAATGATTCATGACACTTACAGGATTACAATTATCAAGTATTGCTCGGTTCCGGTATGACTGACATATTAATTTCGAGAATTAATATATTTTCCTCATATCCCACCTGCGCTCCATAGAGGATGATATTTATTGTCTCAATAGCTTAGTATCTTTCATCTCTGAACTAATTTATAGTATCTACCTCGCAAGCCTCTGCTCAAGCTTAATCCTTACAGAAGAATTCTCATCACACTTTATTTCCTAGCAAGAGCTTGACCTTGTCTACCGCTTTCTCTCAGGTCTAGGCAGAGATGAGAAGGAAATCTCTATTGACTATATTAGGGATTATAATCAACTTTTACGTCTTCTGTTTAGCTACCCCAGATCTTCAAAGGCTTTTCTATTGTGATAAGAAGATAATCGATTTCAAAGCAGTGGAGAGAGCAAAGCGTCACGCCTGCAACGGTCTTAGTGGTTCATACTGGTGGAGCAAATTCCCAGCTACGTTGAGTGGTTCGGAAATATTTCGTATAGATGATGCTATTCTCTTTGTGTGGCCACTGAATTTGGGGAGTAATCATGAATTTAACGAAGGTATTTGTAAACCAACTTAAATGCCAAATAATTGAAGGCCCACAAGGTGATGAGTTGATGCTTACCTATTCTCTAGGTGGTGCCGCAACTGAACGGGTCGTTATAGATTCGCAGTGCAATTTCATTGGCCTTATCAAGAGAATTGACGAAACCTATCAGAGGTGCATCCAACCTGTAGATCCTAATTACAGACCAACTCATTTACCAATGTTTCCTATGGAAGACCAACCTAAGCAATACGGGTACAAATGTAGCAATGAAATAATACCTGAAACCGATTTGAAACGTACCTATGATTACATCTACAATCATTGGTCAAAGCTACAAAATTCAGGACAAGAACCATCCGGGAATCTTCAAGGACAAACCACAGAGAGCAGTAGATATGAAAAATTTTGGACATGGCCTATTCGAATCAAAAAGCGAGAGTCGAAATCTCCGAGTTTGTTAAATGTATATCCCTCTAAATATGGCTAGCGCCCTAATAAAGTATTAGATTATCCACCGGATCGATTCCGCGCTGCAATAAGCCAACTTGACAAGTCACTCGCTTTGATATACAAAGATGAGGACCGTTGGAAAAAATGTGATGGTATTTACTATTTGGACCCAGAACCACCTAGACTGTCAGAAGACACTAAAACCTCTGTTGGTGAGACTATTTACGAAGGTATCAGCGCATTCAGGTGCGGCAATGATAACTTCTCGGCAACTACAGTGAATAGCCACATTCAAGCAGGTTGCAATCGAGTAAGAAGTCTGGTCAATCCAAGAGGCATTAATACATATGAGTTTCCCAGATCACCTGAAAATATTCAATACAAATCAAAACCAGTATGGCACTGGCCTCTCAGACGATTTGAAACCAATGATAGATCATCAAGTAAATATCCCTTGAGAACCACGCTTAAATATACTGACCATGTTGGCACCTGAACAGAACATATAAATCACTATTCGGTCCGCCTCGGCAGTGATTGTGAATTTCTGGGTGTCTATCATCTCATGGGCGAAGCGTATAGACCATGTGAAAAGCAAAGAGATACTATTCCAGCGCCAGAATTGCAATCCAAGGATTTTGATACACGGTTATCATCCAAGAGGCGAAAATTTGCCGACATGCCCTAATATATGGATGTATTGACGGGATATACTTGGGTAAAATAGAATATATATCCTTGCTCCCCATCTTCCTCGGTTCCTACTAATGATTGCACGAGAACTGATGGCTGCATGACTTAGGAAAAAAACTTCTGAGCAATAAGCCCTGTAGTTACTTCTCACGTTAATTTCAAAGGCGTCCCTTTGCTTACTGAAGTTCCGCCAATTTTATAATCTCCTTTTCTGACGAAGCCTAACATCCGAGCAGTGTATCATACCCCTCAAGATCTACATCCAGTCTCTTTGGAACAGGTTGTAAATATTTTACTCAATATCTGACTAAAATTGGTGATTTGGCTATCGTTGAAAGGAGCGCCTTGCAAAGCCGCTTAGGGATTTTAGTTATAACCATAATTATTATGTCATTAACTATAGCACTTTTGACCTGTATCGGTGTTGCCTCTGGGACCGGTTCCGCTATCTTATGATGTGTCTCCGCTAAAATTTTGCTCCTCATAGTTTTGACACTTAGTTTTTGGAGCTTTTAGACAGTGCACCATGATATTTGATGTGGCTACAAAATAAAATTCTTTCAATTGGATAATCCCTCTCTTATAATCGAAAATTTTTATGATTCGGATTTCATGTTGAGCAATGGTAATGTGGCAAATGGTGCCTAGCTGTGGAGAGGAAACGGAATTGCGCAAGCCACTCCCGACCAAATTTATCTAGATGTGAATGGAAAATTGCTTTGATTTAAATAAAAATTGCCTATATTCAGTTACGGCCGTATTCCTCACTGCCGATCTCATATGCAACGTGCCACTGGGCACGTGCATATCTACCCACTGTATATGCCTAGTACTGTCTTGTATTCCTAGATCCCCATCGCCGATATCTCGGGTATTTAATCCAATGCCGCACTGGACACGGTAAGTTTCGTGCTTATTGTCGGTTCACAGGTGTATGGCGTGGGGATAAAGGGCTTGTATTATCATTATTTAACATCGTGCTAGCTCACGAAACAACCACAATTTTTTTGAAATTCGAAATTCGAATATTCACTTTTTCCTCCTCTCCCTACCTTTCGCGCTCGTCGCATTCCCTCAAAAAATTGTGTACGAGTCGCTGGCAATTTTACCATGCCACCTGTTCGAAAAAAGCTTCCCAACGCAATGTTGGACAACGCGAGAGTCCACCCGAGAGCTCCCGCAAAAATACCAGGCCTCGCGCAAAAACTTTCAAGCATGTTTGCGAGTGAGGCCTTCATCGAAGGGAAGTCTCCAAACCTTCCCGACGAAGAGATGACTGGTTCTGAGCCCGTCAGGTCAGCAAAAATTGGTTTCGAGACCCATACCCCTATCGAGCTTGCCCCAGAGGTAAGCAACTCAAGGAAAGGAAAGGAGGTCGTCAGAGAAAGGACGACGGAACGTGCAGAATCGTCTGCCGTAAAAGATGCTGTGCCAGCCTCAAAAGGCGCAGCATCGACATCAGCAATGGAGTTACCTCCGCAGCTGCATACCGTGATGGAGGCCGAAAAGCGACGTACGACGCAAGTTACGGCCCGCCTCGCCATCTGCTCGACTGTGATAAACAATGTTGAAGTAGCACTTTCGCCTCTTTCGATCGGCGAAAATAAAGAATTCGAAGAAGGCATAAAAGTCTACCTACGAGCAGCCGTTGGCTAGTTTGTACAATCAGGCCCAGGGATCACACTACCAATTCTCCCTGCTCGCCCCAATAACCCTCTTCCGACGAGGGCTCCAGAAATTAGGGTTCAAAACCATTCGACGACTCAGGCTCCGGTACCAAAGATGACTTGGGCCAAAGTAGCCCGTGCAGGTCTAGGCTGCAGCGCCGGACCGTCGACTACAAAGGCAGCACCGCCCGCCCCAAAAGCAAAAAGTGCCAACTCGGGTGAAAAAGTCGATTCACGACTTTTTCTACGTCTTGAATATTTCCACCCCCACCGTCTCCTCTCCCCAGCTGGCGTAAGATCAGCTGTGTCACAGGTGCTTGGTACCGCTGCTGACGACATTACGTTGGTTAAGCGGGTCAAAACAGGCTTTGCACTGACAGCAAAGAATGAACTCGCTCGGAAAGAGCTCCTAGATTCGTCCATGACACGGAGCGAATCTATAATCAAACTGGAACCAGCATCAAATCTGGTTGCCATGTAAATTGCCACCGTCATGGAGACAATTCGAACTCTCGCTGGCCCCATTGCCGTGACGGCAAAGATGGTTGCCGATGAAGTCACGCGAGTGACCAAATCAGTTCCTTTTCTTGTTCATCCTCACGGGACCAGCAAACCTGGGGCGCCATACCAGAACTGGTATGCGCTCTTCCCTCGCGAATCCACGCCCCGACCTGGATTTCGCCTCTTCGATGACTCTGGAGCTGCAAAGCTCTTCCAACCTCGTCGAAATATAGTTCAGTGCAAACGATATCTTGGCTTCCATGCCTCTCTGTTGTGATGTGATTATTGCATTTACTCTAAATTTATCTCTGCCAAGTGCCAGGGATACAACACATCTATGCGAGTACTGCACAGCCCTACATGGCTATCATTACAATCGACTATTGAGCCGCAGCTCTATACAATGGCATAGAGTAATGTGGGATAGTATTGCATGGAATTAAGAGTGTAGTACTTCATGCATAGACGGTGATGTACTGTATAGCGGGTGCCAAATATGTGTATATAAGTCCTATCTACTACTGTGATATGTAGAACAATATAACCAAGCTATTCATCATAACGTCAAGCTCTGATAATCCTTATCCACCCTCTGCACTATCCCTAGAATATTCAACATCTCATATCTACTCATACCTTAATTACAACACTCTCGCGGTTGCCCCCGCGCTCCGGCTTGCTGGAACTCCACATCAAAAATGCACTCGGAAACGGAGTGCAAAGCCCCCACACAATGCCGATACTGTAGTGGACCTCATCGATCGGACTCACGGTTCTGCAAAGCTAGACTCAGCAAGTTCGGCCCGGTGAAAAAAGAGCAGCTTGCGTTAATTCGCAGAGCCGAGCAGAAAAATCACGCCGATTATGCTCGAATCAAATCTACAGCCGAAATAGCCATTCAGGCGATGCACGGCTCAAAGAACGACGTCTATATGTCGGACGGATCGGGTTTAGGGATTCTGGGATCCGAAGAGGAAGCTTAAGGTTACGGCCAGCCTCAGTGAAGTCGTCGAGGTTTCAACACACTAACAGTAGGACACCAGATGGAAATAGGGTAACTGCGAGCTCATTTTTAGCTCTCAGCGAAGATCAGAAATTGTCACTTGGAAGATGTGACAGGAAAAGGAACGGGCGAGAAGCGCGGGATCCGGTCCACAAGAAAAGAATCTTCTAAATTTGATTTCAGTCTTTTGCTTTCAGTTTTGTTTTAGTTTTTGATTACAGTTTATTGTTAACTTCATCATTTTTTTGAGGTTCCCACGGTTGGAATGAGTTGGGCCTGTACGCAGTGATCCTCGCCGGCTCCACCTGTCTTTGACCCATTGTGGAAAAATAGCATTAGCTTAGGACAAAAACAATAGAACAAAACAACCTTAAGGTCTCGTGAAAAAGGCTTGTTTTCAGTGTTTACTTCCAAAAGTATTGGTCAGGGCAGTCCTTCATAGTCATAGACTCAGTAGGGACTTAAATTTAATTCTATTCTATTCTATTGGTCAGGGCATCACGTGATATAGTTAGTGCGCTAAGCTTCACTTTGTACTTTAGATTAGATTAGGTTAGATTTTTATTGTAGTCCCTATTGAGTCTAAGATTATAGAGGAATAATTGTACGTTAGATATAAATGCTCGAGGAGGGATACAGAAGAGATAGACAGAATATACCACTTGTTTTTAGCACTTTTAAGGCATTAAACCAAGTGAACCCTGTCGTACCAACACTTATCACGATAGGTTTTATCGTCTTGATACCCTTTTGACTTGTTCCTGTGGGGCTAACAAGTCAATCACCCATTTAGTATTTTGCCCTATTGTGCAAGAGAGACTGGCTTCGGCCGGCCATTGACGAAGTACGGGCCCAATCTATTTTCTTCTAAGCACCTCCCCAGGAGGTAATCGTTTCACCACCATATTGGAGAAGGTTAGGTTCCTGTAAGAAATCTGCCCACTCTGTAACATATGAGCTATTCTCGTGAGGTGCCCGCTGCATAGCGCTCGCAGTCTCTAAATATATTTTTATGGCTTCTGCCACTGCATATCACGTTTTGTATTACTTAGTAGTCACCATGTCCCCTCAAGGATGCGGCTTACGTTGTAACTTGTGCCCGGTAGACATAAAAAATAGCTAAAATAGTATTCTTAGATCCCCAGCGTCATCTTACACCACCAACGCGATAGTTGCCAACGGGTGTTGCCTTTCTTCTCAAGTCGTCACTTATTCACAGTGCAACAATAATAACATTTAACTTGCTTGAGGCGTTAATCCGGCGAAGAGGGGAGTATGGTAATACAAAACAAGGACGCAATCCACACTAGCAACAACAGTGTGAATGAGCCGGCCAAGACGACTTCTTCATCTTCCAGTAGTGCCGGTGCAATCGCTCAGTATGCCCTGCATACCTGGGATAGCCGAGAAGAATCGCATCTGAATCGAATTCGAAAGCACACACAGACACATCTATAATCGGCGACTTCTCATCAATGTCGGACCTATCATTCCCGCACGAGTCTTCCCACTCAATTTTGCTGTACCACCTCGCCTCAAATACTGATAAAAGCGTTACTCCGATTGCAAATAGGAGCTTGCCTCATTCATTACCGGCCATCACTCACTACAAATTTACGACGCTACGTATACCCGCAAGGAGGAAATTAAGTCATAATATACAAAGTAAGGGTCTTGGTTCATGGAGTACTGTAGCTCTATTGGGGTTATACATCTTGAGGAAGGACAGGTGGATGAGATGCGGAGTGAGAGGAGAAACAGGTCTCTGAAAACCATGCTGAGACCGATATATTCGAGGGGTTATCAATTTGGAACGTCTGTGGG